CACATCAATGATCAAGATTACTTCTCATTTTCCACCAAATTATATTGGAGTATATACACTGATACACCCATATGTGTAAGGGATAAATTAGATCAGCTTTGGGCTGGTGTGTGATAATCGAATTGACTCTTTTTATTTGGCAGTTGGGTGGCTGTCTGTGAATCAAGATGGGGGTATCTGGATGCTGAAGAAAGTACAATAAGCTTCTGATTCTCATGACACTATCTAAAGATCGTGTTGTACTGCATTTTTCATGGTTAAAGCAATGTTGTACTCTTTAAAAATCATTGACCGCTGAATTACTGCTGAATTACTGATTGACCTAATTTTCTATTGCCTGATCTGATAGCGACTCTCTCTCCGGAGAAATCTCTAGGAGAAATCAGAAATGCATGCGTTTGTATTTTGTGTGCCAGCCTGTGCCTATGTAGCCTAGTGCCTACAATATAATGATCGATATTGTTGTTGTTGTTATTATTGTTATTATTATTATTGTTGTTGTTATTATTGTTATTATTATTATAATAAATATTATTATTATTAGCACACATATACAGGGTCAGAGTCAAGGGGAGCTCAGGGCAGTCAGCCGATCCCGCTGAAAGTTTGAGAGTATAGAGCTCTGAAATATCTTCGATTTGATATATTATGATGAAAAAATGACGCGGATATAACTAATGGACTTTTGATTTCCAAATATATGAGTCTTTTCAAATTTTCCAAAAAGTGACCTGCTCCATTACCTTTCTTCGTTATATGCACCTGCCTGGCTGCCTTCCCCTCTTCATTCTGCGCAAGACATCAACGCCAGGGCTGCCATGGACGCAAGCCATGAGGCTCCAACGCCAGACACATTCTCTCCGCCGCCACTGCTCCAGTTGATGTTGCTTCGTCGACGGTAATACCTCTTCCCTCTGCTTCATCGACGACGACAGATATAGGGAGCTTGGCCAATAACGATGGTAGACATAGGGAGCAGGGCCGTCGAATGAATTTGGAGGCCCCGGTTCGAAATGAAAAATCGGGGCCCCCATTTATATAAACTAAATACTTATACTCAAATCAATTAAATACTCATTAGAAGAGAACGAACAGAGTAAAAGGACCAACGAAAAAATGATGGATATATATTTTTCTTCTTTACTAGCTAGCTGTATTTTACTGATTAGTATTAATATATAATATTACTATATAATACTAATATATTTTTAAAAATTTGGAGCCCCATTAATCCGGGGGCCCTGTTCTGGATAACCTATTGAACCCCCTAAAAACGGCCCTGATAGGGAGATTCGTCACTTCGGCGAGCTCGACCGACAACAATGGCAGACACAACGTTGTTCTGCCCTTGCCTTGCTGATGCGGATCCAACCTCCGTTGTCGTGTCCCTGCGCATCCCGTCGCCGCTCCTTTCATCTTCTTCTATTTCTTGTTGCTCCCAAATGATTTGACTATCTTTCTGCAACTGAGATTGGGATTAGGAGAGCGGGATCAGGGTTTGGTTTTTGTTATTAAGAATTAGGAGGAGTGTATTGCAATTGAAATTGCTGTCTATGGGTGGAATTTGCGATTGAGTTTGTTGGTTGTACATGATGGATAGTCTACCCGGGGGTATATATCCGAAGGGTTATTACGGGGAATAACTTAGAGAGAAGTCAGAGCGAACAAGTAAGAGAGAAAGTGTATATTCGATATATATTCAGCGTTTTCAGCGTCGTTACAAATGGGGAAACGGGGTGCTATTTATAGTAGCAATAAATGCCGGGCAGGGACACGTGTCAAGCGCTCATTGGCCGAGGGGTCACCTCGACTGGCTGGCGCTGGCAGCCGCATGTGGCCGCATTTAATGCGGCTGTTGGACGGGACATCTGTGCGGGGTACGGTGATCTGTACGCATGTGAGGCAGATATCTTGTCGAGTGAGATGCCTTCGGCTACAGAGCAGTAACCGAGGGCTCTCCCACCCGATGGCACGCTGGTGCCGAGGGCTCACGGTGCCGAGGGCTACTATTTTCGCCGTTTTCTCCCAGTTTCCTAATTTGCTTGAGAAACCCGCTCTGTGATAATTTGGAGCCTTCGGCCAGGGGGCCGAAGGCACCCCTGTGCGTTGTGCGGACTGCTTGGTACTCTGGGCGCTGTGATTTGGGCCTGTTGGGCCTGTTGGGCCTTTGGTGGAGTAGTAGGAGTCTGTGGGCCGGGGGTTCCCGGGCCATATACTCCATCAGGAGTCCCTCACTCCTTTTGCCGAAAGGTACTTGAGGGAAAAGGAGTAACTTGTGCTTGCCTTTTGATGTTGTCCTGTCGTGATCCCTGAAGTTGGTGAGGAGTTGTTGCTTTTATGTCCCTGCCGAAGGCAGTCCCTCAGTTACCCACATGTCGGGACTTGAGGGCTTGCTTCGTTGTTTGTTTGGAATTTCACAGATTTTGTAATTTAATGATTTTCCCGAAGGGGTCCTCCAGTCCCCCACTCCTTGAGGCACTTGTAAAGTGGTGAAAAAGGAGTAAAGTAGTTACGTTGCTGTTGCGGGCCGAAGGCTTACGCTTTCGTTTCATTTTGGGGGGATGCCTCGTTAAAAACCTCATTAGGAAAAAACCCTTTGGGAAAAAATCCTAATGAGGGAAAAAGAGTGCACCGAATTCCCCCAATGATGAATCGAAAATGTCAAACCTTGGTAAAAAATGGAGAATGGCGGGAATGCCGAAGGCTCTCTCTCCTGAGGGCTCCTGTGTCGATTAGCCGAAGGCTTGCTGTTGATATCCTGGTGGCGCCGAAGGGGAGCCCCTCAATCCAGGGATCGAGGGCCTGCCAGATGAGGTCAGCAGTGAAGCTTTTACCGGGGGGTCCACTGTTTGTTGATGAGGTGGTGATGAAGGTACCCGAGGGCCATGGGCCATCCATCAATGAGGCACTCCCCGGGGGCTACCCGGTTTTGCAGTGCTGAGGGGAAAACCCCGAGGGGTCCCCTGATATGCAGCCCTAGGGATCTGAAGGAGTGATCCCGAAGGCGTGTGTAATGTGCTGTGTGGGGCACAACCCGGGGGCACTTCTGGGTGAGTGCACCCGGAGGCTATCCTTGATGAAGTGGAGTGAAGTAGAAAGCCCGAGGGCTTCCAAAATATAGCCGTTGGAAATATAGCCGTTGGAATATGTAACGACGGGATATAGCCGTTGGGGGGGACACGTGGCGTGTGATGGCTGGCTGTCCGTGGGCGGCGTCACCGGTTGGGCGAAGACGCGGTGAGTAATGATGGCGTCCATCCGGAGGCCCGGAACCCAGGCCCAAGCCCGGATTCCAGCGCCTATAAATACCCCAAGGCCGGGCATTCCTCTGTGTGCGAAAAACTTGTTAGCGAAGCTCTGCCAATTTTTCTAGAGAGAAACAGCAGCCCCCGGTTGAATCCTCTGTTCTTAAGGTCAGTTCTCCAGTTACCCTTCACCTCTTAGCTACCTGTACTGCGCCCCTAGGCTAGGAGATAGAACATTTAGAAAACACTAGTTGTACGAGCCTTCGAACTAGAGCGCGAATGTCGTCCGAGAGTGATTCTCAAGATATCTCGAGGACGCCCTCGATGGAGGACGAAGGCATATCTGACGTGGAGTCAAGCAGTGGTCTACCCTCGGATGGTGGTGATGCGGCCCTGGCCCGGGAGATCCAGAAGGAACTCACTGCGGAGGTTGAAGCTGAGGGCTTCGAGCAGGAGTGCGATGATGAAGACTTAGCCCTCGCCTGGCAGACAGCGGAGGATGAGGCACAGAATGAGAGCTCGAAGGTTACGATTGCTTTTCTCCCCCCTCGGGGTTCCGGGGAGGCCAGTAGCTCGAGGTCGTTGGATCCGATACCTCTGAGGGCGGTTTCCGGTGTGAAGAAGAAGAAGGCCGCTACCAAGAAGAAGGAGAGGGCCGTCGATCAAGGAAAGCCCGTGGACATGCCCGAGGGGTATAGTTGGCTGAACACTGAGGCCCTCGAGATCAGGTCGAAAGCTGACAGGGCAGATCTGTACGTGACTCAGCTGCACGTGGGGCCCTCGGCCGAAGTGGTGGAGCCAGGTCCCGACGACGTGTTGTCCAGGGCGCCCGAGGGGTGTATCGCTATTCACGTCCTTTCAGTTTCCATGGGACTTAGGTTCCCTCTGTACCCATTCCTCCGGGAATATTTGCGGTTTGTTGGCTTGGTCCCCTGCCAACTCACGCCCAACAGCCACTCCTACATTGCGGGGTTCCTCCAGCTCTGCAAGTCCCGAGGGGTGAAGCCCAGCCTGGATCTATTCTTCCAGAGTTTTAATCTGTGCCGGGGGGGCACGAAAACGGCGAGGGGTACGCCAACCTGCAGCAGATTGCCCGCTTCAAACTATTCTCCGATGCTCCTTCTTCCAACAAAGGATGGAGGGAACGTTGGTGCTACGTGAAGTTGGATGAGAGCCCCTTCCCGAGGGAACTACGTGACCGATTCCGAAGGCACGAAAAGATCCGGAGTGCCGCTCTTGAGAAGGACGGCCTAAAGCTGGCCAAGTTCCCGGAGGGGAAAGACAAGAACGTGGCGATCAAAGACTGCACCCTCGAGGAGGATTTGTACACCCTCGGGTTCCGGAGGTACCGCTTCATAGGGGAAACCGATGAAAAGTACCCTCCCTTCAACAAGGCCTTCGGAGGGGCCGGAGGTAGGAGCCGAGGGCTTTAGAATTTTGTACTTAGTTTTTTTTTCCTTGGATGTTATCGTCCCTTCGCTTAGACCCTTCGGACTAACCCTTTGTTTCCTCTGTGCAGGTATCCCCGTCTCCATGGTGAATGTAAAGGGCCTTGCCCGTTTGAAGAAACAGGACCCGAAGGGGTCGGGACAGGGCATCCTGAAGCCCGCTACTGCCCTCTTTAAGAAAGCCGAGGGCGATGCCGCTGCCGGTAAGAGGAAGGCAGTGACCAAGGGGTCCCCCCCGGCTACCAAGAAGCCGAAGAAGGGGGATGTCACCGAGAAGGAGCCCCCGGTCATTATTGCTGATGGGCACCCCGCCTCCGGGGTGCAGGTGGAGAAGCTGCCGGTTGGAACGCCGGCGGGGGCAGAGGAGTCGCTGCCTGAGATCCTCACAGTTGCGTTCCCGAGGGGTATGTCTTTGGCCAGCGGCGCCGTCGACCCGGGGGCCATCCTGAGGGGTATGACCCCTGAGACGGATAGGGCTGCCCTCGGGGCCTACAATGATGCGGCCCTCGAGGACCACATTCTCCGCTCCTCCCTCTCTGTAAGTGTTTACCTGGCTTTCTCCATCTTCTCCTTTGATTATTTTGTGTGATTGCCTTTAACTATTTTTGTTGTTGTTCTGCAGGCTTGCTTAGCCCTCGGCGAACAGGCTCGGAGGCTTCAAGAATGGCGCCTCCACAGAGCGGAGCAAGACGCCAGAATGAGGGAGTGCCTCCTCAAGAACCAGGAGGCGGTGAAGCTGGGGGCCCAGCTAGAAGAGGAGCTCCGGCAGATGAGCTTGAAACTGGAGGCTGCAGAGAAAGGCAAGGCTGATGCTGAGGCCGCTGCCAGGAGAGCTGCTAAAGAGGTCGAGGACTCCAAAGCGCTAGCTGTCGCCAGGGCTCAGGAGGAGGCCGTTGAGGCCTTTGTCGCCGAGGGTTGGAGAGCCGAGGGGCGCAAGATGTGGGTGTCCTCGGTCGTGGAGGCCTGCGTTGAAGAATGGGCCGAGGGCCCTGGGTGGGAATGGATGGCCCGGAAGGGCAGAGAGTACTATGAAGCCGGCGAGTTCTTCACCCAGGCCCTCATCTACCGGAGGATGGCCCGGCATTTGGGCATTGAGCAAAAGGACTTCTCCCCCTCGGCGTATGGTCTTCCCCCCTTGCAGCCTGATGTTCGTGAGCCGCTCCCGGAAGGTGTTCAGAGGCCCGACCTTGAGGACACGGTGTTGAAGAATGAGGTCGAGGACGACGCTGTCGAGACCGGAGCGGAGGCATCATTGAGGCCGGCTGCAGAGGGCGCCCCAGTGAACGATGCTGTCGTAGTTGTGGAATGACTTTGTACTTATAAATTTTTGAACATCTTTTGTAATGAACAACATTGTTCCTTCGGCTTCGGCCCGTTTGTAAATTCACACTTACTCTTGTTTTTGATGAAATGCATGCTGCCTCCGGGCTTTTCATATTCGAATACGCCTTATGTTTTGAATGTATGCCTTCTCCTTTGAATGTATGTCTAGGACTTAGAATAATATCTGATTGTAGCTAGCCCTTAGGAGCCTTCGGTAGTTGGGCACCCTCTGCTGGATATGCAACCGATGGTTCGGCAGCAATTAGGACTTAGAAATTTTTTTCTAAGTGTAGCACAGCATGAGGCCTTCGGGCGTTTGTAGTAACCCACCTCCTAGGACTTAGAAAAATCTCTAAGTGTAGATTCCCCCTTGAGAGCCTTCGGGATACGGCGCCCATTCCTGATGTGTGAATGTTGGACCGAGGGCCCAATGCACAGGACTTAGAGATTTTTGCAAGTGTAGTATGCCATGTAGCCTTCGGCTACTGTGGAGCCCCACTTGTAATATTGAATAGGCCGAGGGCTAATTCTTTTAGGACTTAGAAGATTTTCTTGAGTGTTGATTCCTTGTGAACTGTAGCCCTCGATTGACAGGTAGCCTTCGGTAATTAGGTCCCTCGAGATGAGGGCGAAATATGTAGGACTTAGAAAATCTTCTAAGTGTAGAGTTTCCCTTGGGAGCCTTCGGGAGTTGGCATCCCTTCATGATGTATGAGTAGCTGTCCGGGGGGGGGGGGGGGGAATATGTAGGACTTAGAGAATCTTCTAAGTGTAAATTTCCCTTGGGAGCCTTCGGGAGATGGCATCCCTCCTTGATGTATGAGTAGTTGACCGGGGAAAAACATGTAGGACTTAGAAAATATTCTAAGTGTAAATTTCCCTTGGGAGCCTTCGGGAGATGGCATCCCTCCTTGATGTATGAGTAGTTGACCGGGGGGAAAACATGTAGGACTTAGAAGATTTTCTAAGTATAAATCTTCCTTGGGTGCCTTCGGGTGATAGGTGCCCTCTGATTCCATATCACTTTCCGAGATGCCCGGGGGCTACTCATTCAGGACGGAATACCCTCCCCTTTTTTTAAGTGTTGTTGTATTGCATGGCCTTCGGCCACCATATTCCCTTGGCTGTAATATTGATTGGGCCGGGGGCTCCATCTTTAGGACTTAGAATTTTTTGTAGTGCTGCTTCCCTGTGTAGCCTTCAGGGTGCCCGGGGGCTGCTCCTTCAGGACTTAGGATTTTTCTAAGCATATATTGATGTTGAATCCTGTTGTTGTGAAGAAAGCCAATGAGGAGTGTGTGCCCTCGGCATACACTTTAAAAGTTGTAGAATTTGACCCTTGTCATGGGGAAAGGGCCCTCGGTATTCGTGCATAACAGATGCCTTCGGTGTTTGTTTGAAGTACTGTTTAGTGGACCTTGGACAGTCCAGTCCCTTTGTATTGTTGAAGCCTTCGATGTTTTTGTGACCGGAGGTGACCAGGTAGTGGACTTTAGCCGTTTCCTGATGATATTTCTTTGAGTAGTATCCTTCGGGAAATAGGAGTCTTCAATTACCGGAGGTGTTCCCGTGGGGAGCCCTCGGCATGCTGTGATATTGTTGGAGTGTACTCTTCGATTTCTCGCTGAGTCTACTCCCCTTCACCCCCCCCCCCTTTTTTTTTTTTTTTTTTTTGGTTGGTGGTGAAGGGAAGGCATCAAGAAACTTGGTTTCTTGGTAAGGCTGGGCCTATTAGGAGACCATCAGAATACACCAATGGCTCTCCTCCCTCGGGTTAACCTTCCGAGTGCCGAGGGGATCGAGGGACGTTTCCTGGGCACAAGATATGGTGGTCCGTAACCTGCCTCCCCTTGGGGGATGGCGCGGAAAGCGCCTCATTTTTGAAAGTCGTCCCCTCGGCGCTAGACATAGTCTGTGGCCTGCCACACCCTTGGGGTGTTGGCGCGGGGAGCGTTTCAGTTTGGAAGTCGAATCCTGGGCATTTCTCATGCCTGTCATACCCTGGGGGTAATGACGCGGATAGCGTTCCGTTTTTGAAAGTCGAATCCTGGGCATTTCTCATGCCTGTCATACCCTGGGGGTAGTGACGCGGAAAGCGTTTCAAGGAAGGGTTTTCATTTGCACACTAGTTGCAAATGGCCGGGGGCACTACGTGCCGCCGGCACCGATGGTGGCGCCTTCGGTATATGCGTCCTCGTGGGGTACGGCTTTTAGAAACAACACTTGGTGTTAGTTTCGATGTGTAGCCCCCGGTACTTGGTACCGAGGGGTTTACTGTAGGAACACTTGGTGTTCTCTTGTTGTAGTTGATGTAGGCGTCTACCCTCGGTACTTGGTACCGAAGGGTCTTCAAATGAAACACTTGGTGTTTCCCAATAGATGTTTGGAAGCTGTTAGGAGAGCATATCCCTGGCACTGGGTGCCGAGGGGTCTTCTTTGAAACATTTGGTGTTTTTTCTTCGTTTCGATATTTGATGAGGGAGGTGTACCCTCGGCACTGGGTGCCGAAGGGTCTTCTGTAGGAACACTTGGTGTTCTAATCTTTTCTTTTTTGATGTTGAAGGTGGGGAAGTACCCTCAGCACTGGGTGCCGAGGGGTCTTGACTGAAAACACGTGGTGTATCCACTGTTTGTTGTAGGTGTTGATGGTGTCCGCCCTCGGCAATGGGTACCGGAGGGGGTTCTTCTTGTGGTGAGGCCTGGGGCCTGTAGTCAGTACGAGGGCTTGATGTCTTGAATGTATCTTCATTCTTCGAAATTGGAGGCCTTGGGCCATTGGATAGTACATTCACTAGTTATGAGGGCTTGGCCGCTCTTACATTATTGATAAAATTTAACTAAATGGTGTACATTCCAGTGCCTAGGGACCTCTTTCCCGTTGGGGCGTTTGAGTTTGTAAGTCCCGGGTTTGATGATGGCTGCTATGATGTAGGGGCCTTCAAATTTTGGTGCCATTTTTCCTCCCTCGGTTGGTTGGCTGGCTTCCCTCCTCCGGAGAACATATTCCCCCACTTGAAATTCCCGGGTTCGAACTTTGGCGTCGATGTAGCTTTTAACTTGTCTTCGGTAGTTTTCTGCCCGGATGAAGGCCTGCTGCCGGCGTTCTGAAATGAGGTGCAGGTCGAGGGCCATGTTGCTGTCGTTGACCTCGGGGTCATATTGGATCACCCTTCGGGTAGGAAGGGTGACTTCCGTAGGAGCTTTGGCTTCAAAACCGTAGCAGAGGGAGAAGGGTGTTTCACCTGTAGCGCGCCGAGGGGTAGTGCGGTAGGCCCAGAGGATGTTGTGAAGTTCTTCCACCCAGCCACCACCCTCGACCTCCAGCTTCTTTTTGAGACCCTCGAGCAAGGTCCGGTTGGCGTTCTCTACCTGCCCGTTGCCTTGAGGGTAGGGAACGGAGGAGAAGGTGTGTTTGATGCCCCATGCCTCCAGAAGGGCACAGAAGGGGGCTGCCTCAAATTGTGTTCCATTGTCGGAGATGATCTGCTGGGGGACGCCAAACCTTGTGAGGATGTTCTTGAGGACGAAGTGACGGCACTTCGCCTCTGTGATGCTGGCGAGGGGTTCAGCCTCCACCCACTTGGTAAAATAGTCGACGGCCACAATGATGTATCTGTTGTTGGAGGTACCCCTCGGCAGAGGGCCCACAAGGTCTATCCCCCATCGAGAAAATGGGACAGATGTGCTGATGGGGGCATAGTTGACCGCTGGCCTGCCGGGGGCTTTCTGGAAATGTTGACATGCGGTGCACCTCCGGGCAAGGTCAGCACAATCCCTGGCCATGGTTGGCCAGAAGTAGCCCTGGAGAATGAGCCTTCGGGACATGGAGAAGGGTCCCTGGTGAGCTGAGCAAGTGCCACTGTGCACTTCCTCCATTGCGACCTCGGCTTCTTCTGGATGAAGGCACCGAAGTAGCGTGCCATTGTAAGATCGTTTGTAGAGCCTTCCATCTTCGATGGTGTAGCTGGGAGCCCTCAGCTTTGCCAGTTTAGTGCGGGCCTCATTCTCGGGTAGCTGCCCTGTGGAGATGAAGGCGGTGATATCTGAAATCCAATCCTCCTGACGTCGTTGTATGTTCATCACGGGGCTCGCATGGATGCTTGAGAGGCTGAGTTCCTCGATTTTGGCAATCTTGGAGATGTGCTCGGGGGAGTCTGCCGAGAGCTTAGATAATATGTCGGCCTCGGAGTTCTGAGCCCTCGGTATTTGAGTTAGAGAGTGTGCCTCAAATACCTTAAGCAACTCTTTGGCCGCTTCCTTGTACTGTTTCATTCTCCCCTCCTTGGCCTCATATTCTTCGGAGATTTGGCCAACGACCAACTTGGAGTCGCATTTGATGTGGATCTGCCGAGCCCTCATGTTGGCAGCCAACCGAAGGCCACATAGGAGGGCCTCATACTCGGCTTCATTGTTGGAGACCTTGAAGGAGAAGCGGATTGCATAGTAGGCCCTGAAGCCCTCGGGAGTAATGAGGACTACCCCTCCCCCGCATGCTTTGGTCGCGGAGGAGCCATCAGTGTAGAGGGTCCACCAGTCGTCCGAGGTAGCCGAGGGCTCCCCGTCCGTGGCTGCCCTTGCGGTACATTCCGTCACAAAGTCCGCTAGGGCTTGGCCCTTGATGGCAGGCCTTGGACGGATGTCAATGTTGTATTGGCTCAAGAAGATAGCCCATTTCACCATGCGGGAGGAGCTGGTGGGGCTCCTCATGAGGGCGCCGAGGGGTTGATGGGTGAGGACCTGAACCGGGTGCGCCTGATAGTAGTGGCCCAACTTCTTGACAGTCCAAACGATGGCTAACACCGTTTTTTCCACAGGGGAGTACCTGAGCTCGGCCTCCCTTAGGGTCTTGCTAACGTAGAAGATGGCATGCTGGATGCCGTCTTCCTCCCGGATAAGTACAGA